TTGAGTCATTACGTGTTATAGTGTTGACGTTAACGCGTCGGAGCAAAGTGGCCGACTCGCTTGGGTGGCCGACTCGCTTGTGAACCACGTTATGTGAAATCTATATTGAATATTTGTTCGGCTCAGCTTCTCCCTAAGTAGCCCAGGCATACGCTGGCTCAGTGCTCCAAGGGCAATTTGAACAGCTTTATAGCATTCACCTTTCCAACTTTGTCCTTCGCCTCATTGTCCAAATCTACAGTTTTCCACCACGACTGTGCCTCTTCAATGTCTTCATACGGTGTTTCTGTTCAGATAAGTCAAACTAGGAAACATGCTTCCTAGTTCTGGGCGAATATTACCTATCGCGTATAAGCATCTACCGAGGCCGATCGTCTCAATGCAGAGCTTCAAGCCAGGAGTGAAGAAGTTTCCCAACGTTTTAATATAGACATTGTTTTGGAAGTAGAAACTATAGTCGTTCTTTGAAGGTCGCGTAGCCCGTTTGCTAGATTTATTGTACCAATGGCTCGCTCGCCATAGATTGAGAGGGATGCTATGCAAGTACGTTAGCTACGATATTAGACCATGGCGCATACTCATACTTCTCTCCAAGATATCCAGCTACAATTTTGGCACCTGGAAATCGATCGATAATACCTAGAATAAGATGTCAGAGTCTGGAACCCGTTATATGGCCCACGCTCGCCGACCTGATGAACAAATCGCATAAATGTGGTACGAAAGGTCGAGGTGGAACTGCACAGCAGCCTCTTGTAGATGCGGTCGATCCCCATAGAGAGATCCGGGTTGAAGATCCTTCTTCGCGAGGTAGTGCGGGTGAAAGTATATCGGTACATCTAATTCTTCCACCTTTTTCCAGAATGGATCGTATCTAGTAGTATCGTAGTAATCTCAGCCAGAATCCTCGTTCTTGCTTTGGTGGTCATTGATCAGCCCTCCGAAGAAGCCCAATTGCTTAACAGCCCTTTCTAGTTCACGTGCTGCGGCCTCTGAATCGTGCATGGAAAGAGCTGCTAGACCACCAAATCTCTTGGGGTTTTGCGACACTTGGGCTGCCAGCCAGTCTTTGGCCTCTCTCGCAGTCTTCTCCGCGACTTGAGGATCGGTGATGCCCTGGCATCCTGGGGCAGTCAAGGATAGAAGCATGTATTCGACTCCCTCGGCATCCATAGTCGTCAGACGCTTGCCATGGATATCAAGTAGCCTATTGGCATGTGCTTCGAGGGTTTTGTTGCTGTGGTCACCAGGATTGAGAATAGAATTGGTTTCCTCAAGTAGCCATACCGTCGAGGGGGTTATGATTGCTTCCTCAACAGCCACGGTACCTCGTACGACCATCTCGCTTCGTTAATGAAATATATCTATTTAACAAATACATGCATTTGCAACCTTCACCTGAGGCTTACAAAAACGGAAATTGAGTGCTTTCATGTAGAGATGGCTACAAGTAAGGGTAATAATGTGTTCTCACTACCTCATTCCAATGGCCATACTCCATATCCATTGACAAAAGTCACTAATAACTTACCACGCGGAGTCATCGGCGATATATCTCCGACGTGAATGTCTTCTATTCACATCACACCAATGGCCACGCTCCATTCCCAAAACTTAAAAACTTGTCGCACGGGAATTTCGGATCGATGTTGCAGTGGTGGAGATCTATGCTCACAGTCAAAGATCTGCCGAGAATGGGCACAGGTAGTTCGTTATGAGGGGACCATCGGCGGTATAGTTCCGACTCCGCTACTATTCTCCGCTACTAGTCCCGAAGTGCTTGGAACTCCTGAGCTTCGCAAGCGTCAATCGTTAGAACACTCTAGCCTGTTTAGCAGGCACGTAGTGGTATTTCCAACATAAATCTAACAAACAATAACATTTTATGTGAGATCACATATCACGTTGTGCTTTGAAAAGTGAACCTTATACGCATACTGCTACGCTGTACGCTCAATCATCTCTCATTTGGCCACGAACATCGCAATGGCCCACATTTTTGAACTTTCTGCTGTCCTTGATACCGGTTATGTAGATAGAAAGAAGGTTGACGACCGATTTAAATTTCCCAATACTGGTATCTTTAGTGGGATTAACAAACCATTCCGGTTAGAAGGAGACATCTTTGACCTTGAGGTGGAGGGGAAAATCCCCCTAGAGATCAATGGTACTTTTTATCGGGTGCAACCAGATCATCGATTCCACCAGTCCTTGAAGACGATATTCATTTCAACGGTGACGGTAATATTACAGCTATCCCTATTGGAAACGGCCACGCAGACTACAAGCAACGTTATGTTAGAACATATAGGTTTCTAGCAGAGACTTCAGCTGGAAGAAGTCTGTTTGGAAGATATCGTAATCCCTATACAGATTCTGAACTAGTAAAATCTGTAATCCGAACCGCTGCAAACACCAACATCACGTTTTGGAGAGGAATGCTTCTTGCCTCCAAGGAAGACGGTCCGCCGTACGCCATGGATCCCGTGTCTCTGGAAACAATTGGGTGGTACGACTTCGAGGGCCAGATTACGGCGCCGACAATGGCTGCGCACCCTAAATTCGACCCTGATACAGGAGAAATGATATGCTTTGCATACGAGGCTGGTGGGGATAAAAATGATGGTTTGCGCCGCATCGCAGTGTGGACTATCGATGCAGATGGCGTCAAAACACAAGAGGCTTGGTATGAAGCTCACTCTGCGGCATGATTCATGACTGTGGTATTACGAAAAACTATGTTGTTCTGCCAATGTCCCCCCTCAAATGCTCCCCAAATCGACTTCGAAAGGGAGGCAATCATTGGGTATGGGACCCTAAGGAACATCAGTGGTACAGTATTGTTCCACGGAGGATGGGAAAGCCCGAGGACATCGTGTGGTTACGTTCTGGAAATGGTTAGTTACTCTTCTTTGATGTTGACTGCTTGATAATAAAGTCCGATAGCATTTCATGGCCATGTTGCCGGTTGCTATGAAAATGATCAGGGGAATATCGTGTTCGACCTTACGGTCGCGGACGGTAACGTATTCTTCTTCTCCACGCCCGACGATGAGCCAACCGGAAGCGTCGCAAAGCGAAACCGCCTACGCAGCCCAACCAGACGCTAGATATTCAATCCAAAGAGTCCTTCAGAGTCATGGGTAGAGCCAAGCGAGGTATGGAATACCAGCGGCAGATTATCCCATATAGATGACCGTTATGTCACGAAGAAGTACAATCATTTCTGGCAAGCAAAGATCGGTGGCGCAAGGGAGTATGATGTTGCCAAATATAGTTCGCCCGCAGGGGGACTATTCAACTGTCTGGCTCACTACACATGGGATGAGAGAAAAGAGGATGTTTACTAGGCTGACTCATGTGCGACGTTTCAAGAGCCATCATTTATACCAAAGAGCGACGGTGCAGAAGGAGAGGGCTGGCTAATTGCTTTGTTGAATCATCTGGATGTCCTGCACAACGACGTCGTCATCTTTGATGCCCTTAACCTCGCAAAAGGCCCCGTAGCCACCATTCGTCTTCCAACGAAACTTCGTCTTGGCCTTCATGGAAACTTTGTGGATCAACGAGATATTGAGGAATGGCAAGCAAGAAGGCAACCCAGCGGGGATGTCGGTTTTGTGAAACCTGCGACAAAGCCGCTACCCTGGCAACTGGAGGCTGAAAACCCCTGAACATGTGTCGGCTTATTATTTGATGGTAGGAAGGCGAGCAAATACCTCAGTTCGGATGGGGTGGGATTCGTATGTACTGCATAACATTGGCAGCGACAATTTTTTCAAAGGCTAATTCACGCTCAACCGAATAGATCATTCCCAAGTCAGTCAGCTGTCCCAGAGGAAAGTTCCATCCGACCTCGATCTTTGAGGCTAGCAATCGACAATCAATAAGTACGCAACAGCTGCAACACATTCTATATAACTATACTTGACAAATCCTAGAGATGCCATCCGCCAAAGATTGCCCTTGGGCAATTACCAGCATTAAGGAAATAGGTAGCGGTGTAAAAGTAGCATGATGGGTTGTTAATATGAAGGATATAACATCCATCTCTCGACGTGGTCATGTACGAGTGGGTAGAAGGCACGTAACTAATTATAGGATGATCGTCAATCTTTGAGAACTGTGCATGGGTACCTTATGGCTGCAGGGGTCAACTGGCCTGATCCCTGGCGAACCAGGAGGCTCCTCCGCATTCTTAGTTACATTCCGCGGAACAACGGCAATTTATGCTAGTAGTAGAAGTTTTTAAGCTCTAGAGATATGTTGAAGTTTTCATGGCTCTAGTGATTTCACTCTGATTATATCTATTGCTCTAGTATACAAAGAAAACAACAATTCATCCATAAGTGCAGCATTCGCTTCTTCAATTCAAATAGCCTTCTTCTAAGTAATGGAAAATTGAATTCTAACTATTCATTGCCGTCTATCCTGCTTACAGGCTTATATCATCTGAAGATCGTTGAGAAACTTGATATGGTTCTTTGGGTGACACATCCCTAAGTTCCGTCGTGCTCTGAAAATGGACATCTTTTTGGATGTAGATGGCATTGTCGTGGGTAGTCTTTGACTTGAGAGGACCATTACTCGTAAACCTCGTCTCTCTCTTAGTGGCAAATTGGTTGCCAGTACTCGATTGACCTTTACCACTTGATCCCGCCATCCTCGGTGAAAATCTCTTTAACAGTGGTCGGAGTGTGGGGATGCAGGCACACATGATACCGAGGCTGGTTTCAAGGGTAGAAAGAGAAGCAACAGTTCCGATTTGCCATGTGATATCGTTCCAGTCATAGTGGGGCCCGATAAGCATATTAAGTCGAATTGCGGAGATGATGCATACACTACTGCATGTTAGTATAGTTATCTGTAACAAGAGCAAGTGGTACTTACGCTAAGCCCATGCACAAGATAGCCAATAGGTATACCTTACGCAAAACGTTGATTTGCAGTTGAAGTACAGGCTTAAAAGGGATGATGAGAATGAGAAAATCGGTAACTAGATTCATGACAGCATTCAGTGCAGCTAGCCTAGTTGCTGTTAGTAAAAGCCAACGCACTCATTCAGGTTTCCTATATACTCACGTGTTATTGCCGACGCAAACTCCTTCCGGAATGTGTGTGATATCTTTGAATGTGCAGATGAACGGAGTGAAGATCCTTTAAAGAATATATCTGTTAGAAACGACCTTTGAGAAGACACATAGGAGCTTACTGTTGTGCAGCTCCCCACATTAGAAGAAACCCGGTGCCCCAGTTGCAAATGAGTCGCATATTTCGACCAGGAAAAATCTTTCCATATTGGAGAAGTAGCGATATCTTGGTTGCAATTTGTGTCGCATTATAGATTGCTATAGCGGCGAGGAGTATCTTTATAAAGTGAGCTTCAATGCACCTTGAGTTTTTCTCACTGGACTCTTTACCTTGGAGAAAACCGGCAGTTTGTCCTGAACAAACTGAACGTGTCGCCCTGCGCCCCCAGCGATAAGGATTGCGTAATTTACAGCCGATACTGCGAAGTTGAGTACTTGAGCCACGATGATGACATAGTCGTCCGCCCCAACATTTCGCAATATTATTCTCCTGTGCGAATACAAACTCTGGTCAGCCCCGCAATTGCTGGTTCTCCTTTAAAGGTATATGTACCTAGTGTAAAGCCGGAGGGCTACGCAGGCGCATGAAAGTACTGTAAAAATCGTAACGATGGCCAGGGCGGTAGGAACCTAGATAGCATTAGCGAGTTGTGTCATTGTGTTGCTGGCGGTTTTTGCGTACTCGGGTCTCATCGGCCAGGCCCTGGTCACTAGCCATGATACTTGATTCAAAGCTGAGCGTGCATGTAGCGCAATCAATCTTTTTTGAGGATGATATAACCCCTGTCCTGAAGTGCGATCTTGAAGAGGATAGATGGAAAAGCGATGGGCAAATGTAGGACTATTTAGGACCAGGTAATTCCAGTCGTAAAGGAGAACCGCGCGTAACATAGTTCGGTCTAATCTACGCCGTTCTGCCATCAGGTTGGTAGTGGTCCAATGAAAAGACTCCGGCTGACTAGCCGTCATCCAAGCACGGTTTTAGTGGTATGTCAACGGAACTATCGCAAGACGAGGGGTGTCACTAAAACTAGACTACCGAAAATACGGGGTATCTAGTAATACGGGGTATTTCGATCTATGCACCCACGCAACCCTCTCCGCAAAGTAGGGTATAATACCGTCATTGTAGCCTATATGTTGGGCTTTTGAGGCAGAGAGACATATACTCACTTTTCCTTTGATCATTCTCTGTCATATACGGTGATACCACAACCACGTGTTGCGCTGTTTGTTGTGGCGTCACTACGCAACATGAGCACGAGCCACACCTTCTTCACTCAATTGGAGCGCGAGCACTGGGTGCGGCTCGGTACTACGTCCCGAACGGGGTCATGACACCGTAGAACGCATGAAAGGACTTGGTTGCCTTACAAAGTGTGGCGTTCCGAGTCAGTGGTAGAGATAGCGCAATCCATCGCCTGTCTGGTCCGCCTTGGGCCGCACTTCTCGCAAGGGTGCCGCACAGATCCGACGCTGGGAATAGAGAAGAAAACAGCTGCAAAAGAATTCAAAGAATGGTGGGCCTCTCTAG